CCCCCCCCGGTGTACACATACACCCCTAAAAAAATAAAAAAAATAAAAATAAAAAAATTGAGCGCATCAAAATTTGCGCATTGCGCATGCGCACCGCACGGCGCACCGCAGAAGTGCGCCGCAAGTATGGAGCAAAGCAATGAAGTCAAACTGACAATGCAAGCCCCCCTCTTGTAGCCACCACCATCGATGTCTCCAATGCCGCTGCTCTCCGACATGGCGCTCGCCCGAGATATGCAGCCGGGCCCAAAGGACGTGTCTACGGAAAAAAGGCAAAGAAAAAGAAAAGATAGGTCCCATGTGAATTATGTTGTGATGCACAAATGGCATCATCATCTGAACTGTGCTTGAGGCATACGGTGCAGACCATCGCAGTCTGTGCTTTCCCGCATGGCATTGGTAATCTCCGCAACCGTCTTCACCCCCGAATACAACCCCCGGTCATTAGAGCTGTATTTGGTGGAGCTTCGAGTCCCGGTACGGCGATAATTATCGGGCGTTCTATTAGGGTGAAGAGTCTGAAGACCCCTAGTACTCTGAAAAAAATGCCTCAGTGTGACTCTCAACATGCTACAAAAGCAAGAGAAAAGAAAAGAGGGACAAAGAAGGGGGAGACATTTGTCGAGGGACACAAAGACGAACGAAACTCATTTGTCGAGGGACAAATGAGAGAGAGAGACCTTTGTTGATGTGTCCCTTGTGCAATATGGTAACTAAGGACACATCAACAAAGGTCTCTCTCTCTCATTTGTCCCTCGACAAATGAGTTTCGTTCGTCTTTGTGTCCCTCGACAAATGTCTCCCCCTTCTTTGTCCCTCTTTTCTTTTCTCTTGCTTTTGTAGCATGTTGAGAGTCACACTGAGGCATTTTTTGAGAAGGCGGCTGTGTGAGCAATCGTGTGCTGATCGTGCGCTCTGCTGTGTTGCCTTCTTTTTCCTTGCCCATTCTGTTGTAGTCCCTCTTTTTTTCCTTTGTTTTTTGTTTGTGAATAACACACACACTCATGCTCCATCTATTCGGGGGGAGGGCAGTCCATTTGCTTATCATCGGCAAACATTCACGATATCCCATCTCGTGACTCTGCAATTCTGTGTGGATAGAAAGTTGGGATATTTCGTTGGGTGCCCCTGAAAGGCATGGGTATGGCAAAATGCTTGTATGACAGGTGGGAAACTTAGCGGAATAGTCGTCGTGGCAATTGGACTTGCCATATTTTGCATCTACCCCTACCGGGCCCTGGGCAACTTGTGTATATGCCCTGGTATTTCTGGCCGTTGGACCCTGCAGATGGCAAAAAAGAAATGCTCAGGGCCAGGGCATGTGGCAAAGTTGCCGATGAGCGGGAAAGTTTGGGGCATTTCTGCACACCCCCTGTGTTGTAGGGGTATCTGACGAAATACCCCAACTTTTAGCAGTGTTTCAACAACTTAACCAAAAAAACAACAAGAAGAAGAACAACAACAACAAAGAAGAGGGTTGGTTGTGGGGGTAATCAGGAGAAGCATCTCACGCTTGCTCATCCTCCTCTTTCTGGCATGCTTCTTTTTTTTTCTTCTTTTTTTTTCCTCCTTTTTTTTCTTTTTCTTTTTTTGGTGTGTGTGTGTGTGTGTGTGTGTGTGTGTGTGTGTGTGTGTGTGTGTGTGTGTGTGTGTGTTGGTGAACGACTTGTGCAGCGCTGAGCCATGCGGTGAGAGTGGCAAATGCATCTGCCCGTGCTGAGAGAGCAAGAGCACAGTTTTTGGCACTTGGCTGTTCAAGAGTAGCCAGAGGTGGTTGTGGCAGTGCTGGAGAGGGAGGAGAAACAGCATCAAGAACAGAGCCAGGGAATAGCAGAAACCTTACGGAAATAAGTACTTGTGAAAAGCACGGTACTTCCGTAGCGATCGAGTCTCGGACTGTCATCGATCACAGCTTGAGCGCGCGTGGGCGGAGCGTCAGCGAACCCTTTGATGAGAGAATGGAGGCGAGTGAGATCCAGGTTGCTGATTATCGTAGCAACGCAGGTAGGGTAAAAGCCTCATTGATGCCCGCGAGTATTGTGGAAGAACTTGCTCAGAAGTATGGTTTATGAAATGAAGTTTGGATGTTTAGAGGAGGGGGGGGAGGCGGGAGTATGGTTTATGACATCTGCAGCACAGGTTTGAGCATTCATATTTCTCATCAGCTTTATGGCCTTCAATTTTTTTTTTATTATTTTTTATTTTTTTTTGGTGCAAGTTCTCTATTCTTTGGAATTGATTTCTTTCATGTGTCGTTTTTTCACCTTCGGACTTCCTTCTTTCGAAGAAGTTTATAAAACTTTATATCGTTTGAAATTTTTTGAATACTTTCTTGGGTTGTATGTATCCTTGGCGTTTTTTTTTTTTTTTTTTTTTTTTTTTTTTTTTTTTTTTTNTTTTTTTTTTTTTTTTTTTTTTTTTTTTTTTTTTTTTTTTTTTTTTTTTTTTTTTTTTTTTTTTTTTTTTTTTTTTTTTTTTTTTTTTCCGTTCAATCTTATATGTTCCACGTTTGTAGATTTTATGATCATCTTTATGTGTGTCACAGTCTCTTTTTTTTGGGTGTGCCTTTCCTTTGTCTTTTCAATTAGTTGGATCATTTCTTTCATTTTCATTTTCATTTTCATTTTCATTTTCATTTTCGTCATTCGCTGTCTTCGGATTCTATTGTATCTTTTTTTGCTTTCTGGTTGGTCCTGGAGGGAGATCCCTCTAGCCATGTATGTGAATTAGTGTCATGAGTGTGGGACAGGTGGGGAACAGGTGGGTGGCAGCGTGAAATAGGGAAAACAAATGCAAAAAACCATTTCATGACCAAACAAATGAAGAAAAAACTGCTAAAAAACTTTAAAAAAGAATATAAAGTGCTCTTCTCACAGATCGTGTCTGCTCCAGGCGGGGTGTCAGATGTCAGGGTATGATTCACTGACCATGGCTGTGGCAGTCAAGACGACTGCATGTGAGCGGGCACGCGGACCATGTTCATTGACAATAGTCTGAGACTTTCGTGACATAGGCCGCAGTGCAGTGAGTGCATGCTGTTGGGTTGTTCTGACAGAAATTCTCTTTGGCAAAGGAGGAGGGCAAGAGTAACTCCATATACACCATTTGCTGTAGGTAAGGGGATCGAACCCTCCCAAAAACACCTCCCAAACCACAATCAATTTCCAGCGATGAAGCCATTCGTGTTTGCCTTCGCGGTGAGTGAAACTTGGTTGTGATTTCAGGAACGAAAAAACTTGGTTGTGATTTTACGCACATTTGGGACCGCCACAGGACCCCAACAACAAAAACAAAACAAAAACCTACCAATGGGAGAGCAAACGAAAACATCCTTTCCCGGTCTTAATTCACAAAAACAGGCTACCGCTGATTTCCTGCCAAATCCACGATGCCTGACAGTCACACACCTTAAACACTAATCCACATAACATCGGTAGTGGGATCTCCCTCCTGGATGCTTTTTTTTTTTTTTTTTTTTTTGGGGTTTCGTAACTTTCGTTCAATCGTAGATGTTTCACGTTTGTAGATTGTATAATTTCTACTGTTATCTTTTTTCGCTAGCTGGTTGGTTCTGGATGCTTGTGAATGGACACGGACATGCCGCGTAGCTGAACAGTACGCAGTGCACTTCAACTTAGGGTCAAGCCCCTCTGCCTGCTATGTTCATTCTAAATCAGCATAGGTGTTACGAGCGTGGGCCCATTTTGACAGGCAGATGCATGCACGGTAGCTGGGATGGGTGCTCGTGTTCTAAAACACCAGTACATGGGCCCAGACTCGTCCCCCATCCGAGAAAATCGGGGCGGGACCGCCGTTGACAAAAATTCAATCGGCCCCCTTGGTCTTGGCCCTCTGACAGCAGCCCCCAGTCAATGTATGGCGCGTACTGGTGGTTTAAACACTCATCCAAAACCACGACTACCCATCCGGGCTGTGTCCTGCGCACAACTGCCGGTTAGCATAGTGCTACAGAAAAGCTCGGTCTAACGGACTGAAATGATTTGACGGCGCCCTCTATCTAGTAGGCTTCTTCGTTGCTTGGAATGTGCGGGGCAGGGAAAATGCACATCGGAAAAAAGAGGCTCGAACGTACTGGTGATTTATCGCGTGCATTCACACCTGCAACGGGTCATGCCAGTTTCATTGTTGTGGGGTTCTTCTGCTGAAGCGCGGTTTACCATGGGTTCTGTCTGTCACTCAGTGCAACTTTGGGCCGCGTTCCTAAACACAACATTCTGAAGGTATCTGGCGCTGATTGTGGTCGTGATACATTCAAAATGTTAGGTCATCCCAAGCGCATCTGGCGCAAGACACAGTCCAGGTACTCGCAGAATGTTGTGTAGTGGAGCGAGGCCCTTTGCCTTTGCCTTTAGGTACACAGCTTATATGGGAAGAATTAGTAGGGGTACTGTTGGGTTTAGAGGGCTGCGCGCCAGGTCAATAAATATAGAGAAGGGTTAGGGCATCGGCCTTCCCAACCCTAGTCTTGTTTACATCTCTTCTGGTCTCGATCTCTTCACCTCCCTCGCTTCACCTCCCTGATATCGTCTTTCGGCTTTTCTCTTAACTGAGCCTGAGCGTGAGCCTGTCCTCTTTCTTGCTTTCTCAAACTCTGTGACTGCTCTGGTCTCGATCTCTGACTCTGAACTGAGCTACCTTCTTCGCCCGAATACAACGTACGGTCATTCTTGATGTATGTATTTGGGGTATATTGCCGTCTAAATACAGATATAATGACCGTACGTTGTATTCGGAGGAAGAAGGTAGTCTGGGCGCTATTGGTACCTTTGGTCCGTGGTACTTTTCTGTCCCGGCATCCGCCTTCGGGTTTCGCATCGGTACTGTTGCCCTTGGGCTTAGGCCAGTCTATCTCAGATCATGTCGTACGATATTAGTCTGGATGTTTCTGGACCCTGAGGTTGTTTTTATTCCAGTCTGAAGAGTGTGAGTAAGATGTTTACTGCTGATGGCGTTATTGAATCCCTCCAGAGAGAAAACACACCGAGGAAAACACACCTAGAACGTCCTGGGTGGTGTGTTTTCCTCGGTGCGTTTTCTCTCTTGTTGCTGTTGTTGCCCTTGTTGTTGTTGTTGCCATTGTTGTCATCTTTGTCGTCGTCGTCGTCGTCGTCGTCGTCATCGTGGGTCATCGTCATGCTGGTCGTCGTTGTTGTCGACTTTTTTTTTTTTTTTTTTTTTTT